CTTTTTCCATACCAGTAGGTACGTCCTAAGAAGTCATGTCTCCACTCGCCAGGTACTGGTTTTTCGTGGCCAGTTTGTAAAAGCCTCAAAGCAATTTCTCTTTCTCTGACAACCAAGTCTATATTTTTCATAGATTTATTTACCTGCAAATAGGAAATAATTTCAGGATCGGCCAACAGAACACAGTGCTGACAATTTAAAAGACCTCAAATGCAGATCTAAGACAAAATTCAAAGGAAAAGCAAAAGTGAAACACATCAGTGGTTCCATCATGAGTCGTCTCCCAGTTGTGGACTGAGTGAAACAGCTGAACTGTCTGTGCGTGCTTGAACAGTAAAGAATGGCTGCTTTAAAAACCTCACAAGCAGAACAGATATGAAATAACTGATGGTGTAATATTTCATTAAACCCTAGCTGGCCAATACATGAGTCCAAATCCAACGCTGAAGCTAGAAGTATAAAAAGCTCTGAGGCGGTGGTGGGAAGGAAGCAGGAGAGGGATATAGCAGCTATGCTGGCTGTACTTCTGTCAGATGGTTTGTACTGGCTGCTTGCTGTTCTCATTTTCACTCTGGAGACAGCCATAGCAAGGCCTGTTGGCTGATTACAAAGCTGCCTTGACCAAACTATGAAACATGAGTTGAAGGTTTTTAGTCAGGTCTGTCTCATAATATTACTGTAACACACATTACATATGGCAATATGTTAAATGCTCTAGGAAGTTGCTAGAACTGATTTTAATAAGCAGAGTGCTTTATTTTGTTTTAGTGCAATCATAGTATTTAACTGCTGCTTGACTTCCACTTTCCTCGGGCTTCAGCCAAAATCAAAGAGGCAATTAGTAAAATTTGACTTTTCAAGCGTTGGGGCCATTGAAGTTTTATGGTGATCAGAAGTTGCTGAATATGAATGTGTAGGTGGGACTAAGCAGAAAATATTGTTCAGAATGGGAGTGACAAAACACAGGTGAGAAACCATATTCTGATAAATTAGAACAAGATGCACTAGGAGATCCAGAGGAGAGTTTTATACTGGATCTTCCCTAATTTATAAGTACAGTGATGAACTACAAGAGTAGGAGACCAGATAAATGCATGTATGACACAAAGAGATCATAATGCAGTTGCAGATGCACGTGATGGCAAACAGCAGTTAAATGATTAACCATACAAAGAAATTCAGATGAACAAAGTAAAGGTCAGACTTTTCCCAAATTAATTTGGATAAGTAAGGGGGTATCTGAGAATATCTCTCATGTCAAACAGCTGGACTATTATCACTGGCCAGTGAAGGTGTAGATTTCCATCTGTGAGACATAAGCATGGAGATGACAGTTGATTTGTAAGTAAATTAAGTTTTCAATCTTAAAAATACAGAGGAAAGGCTTTAATAAATTAGTTGCAGAATCACAATAATGCAAAAGGAGAGGAGGATAAAAGTGAGGACAGAAAAGATCAGAAGAGCACGAGTTTAGAGAAGACAATGTCAGAGGCAAGAAGGTGGCAACAGTTAAGCAGCTAAAATAAGTTTATGAAGGGTAAGAATAAAGATGTTAAAGTTTTGCCAAGAAGTTTCTGTGCATGAAGGTGGCAAAATATTTCTTAACATTATAGAGAAACTGGAGAAGCCTTTCCCACTATGTTGCTTGAGAACAGTGTTTGTGCTTACATTAAAATCAAGGAAATAGTTTTAAAAATGGTCTCTAACAAGCTTACAAACACTTCACATTTCATTCAACAATTTTAGAGTTATATTTTGAGCTAGCATGAAAACGTTACCTTTCCTAATCGTTCTGGACTTGGCATAGGCCTGAGTTGTCGTTTTGATTCTTGCTCTAAAGTTAAAAGCATGTTTTTTTCCTTCAGTAGGACATACCTAGATCAGAAAACATAGTACTTCAAAAATAATTTCTAGATGCATTGGCAATTATTCACTCATTACCCTGCTGGAGAGAGTGCACACAGCCCCGTATCTGGTACCTGCCAGACTGATGCACAGAAGCAAAGAGACACTGACCAAGTGGAGAAAGCCCTGCAGAGGTGGGCAGGGGAGGGCCGATGTACAGGACACACATGGAAAGGCTGGGGGAGACAGGCTTACATAACCTGCAACGGAGGCGGCTGCGGAGGGACAAGGTTAACACCAAGTGTTCTTCCACTACCCGACAGTGACAGACTTCTTACAGGTGCACAGCGAGGAAAAAACTATTCACAGTAATAACCAAGTAATAGGTTAGCCCTGGCATAGTTGCCTGGAGTGGTGATGCAATCTGCAGCGCCAGAGACTTTCAAAATCTGGATGGATGCAGACCCGAGCAACCTGACTGAGCTCAGCCGTTCGCCCCACCAGAGGCCACTTACAACCAAGTCTGTCCTGCAGCTCCAGCAACCCCCAGTGGATTCAAATGCAGCTTCCTCGTACCAAATCTCAGCCCTCTGTACCGGACACAACTGTGGTACAGCTTTCATATTCTGAGCAGTACCAGAGCTTGGGCTGCTCCAACTCCAAAGCAGGCTCAAGCATGCAAAGCTGCACAGCAGGCAAGATTTACTGGCTAACAGGTTTATTAGCTGCATTTTAATAAAACCTGCAGAGCTGCTTTGAAAGAAGAAAACTACTTCACTACAACTTACTTACCAAAGTTTGTGCAAGTCTTCACTACTCTTGCCCCTTAACTGTGTTATATTCCATGCATCCCCTGTAAAAAACAAATAAAATAATTGGTTTAATAGAACAAAGATCTCTTATTCTGAAAAAAAGGTGCTTGTATTAGCAGACCCAACAGAACAAGGATATTAAAAAAACCACCTCTTGGAAAGCCACCCTTGTGGATATTCATCTTTGTTTTGAAAATGCAAATAAATTAAAAAGGCAACGACACATACTGTTTGTAAAAAGCTGAGAACAGTGAAAGCTGTAAGGTGAATCTTTTCAGTAAAGTATTTTTCTTCCACGGTACTGTATATGTCAAAGAACATCTCTTCTTTGAGACACTCTCACGTAACTGCAAGGCAGAGGATTTACAGCAAAATATTTTGCTGCCTAATAGCTCTGCTTTCATAAACGCACAATATACACACACACACAAAATTAACAAGCACAAAACACACAAGTAAATTTATGAACATGTATAGAGCAAAAATAAGTTTTATGTAGTTCTCAATACTTCCTATAATGCAAAAGAATAGGTCAGATTTCAGCTGAGGACAAGTGGCTCAAAGCTCACCATCAGAAATGCTAAATGTAACTCACCAGACTTTACACTTTTTTCTCCCCAGTTCCTTGGATCATCAAAAAACTCCTCCAGACCTTTCCGAGACAAAGTAGTGTGCAGAAACTTCACCTGATGGAGGGGCTCAACTTTTGCTAGGTTCTTGTGGAATAGGTTCAGTGTCAATCTGCACAAAAGTTAGAAGGAACACTATATATGATAATAAAAATAACATTAAGCAAAATGAGAATGTTTCTTTCATTTATAAAGGCACAGGTTCAGTTCTTCATAAAAATGTAATCTCGGCATTTTATCCTCTACCTCTTGTCTCATCCATTTATTATTTATTTATACAGAGAGATAAATAACAATTTCAAAATTAAAAGAACCTATAAGCTTGAGCTACACTGAGAATACAACCTCCTACTTGACTTCAACTTAACGGCAAAAGCACATGACATAAGCACAAAAAACCCCACGCTGGAAACACAGCGACTGCAAACCAGTAACGTGCACAGGGAAAAGCTCCATTGTGTAGCTTACACAACGTTTCAAAAGCCGCTCTGCAACGCTCAGCTGAGCTTTCAGAGGCCGAGACACTCGGGCCGCCAAGGGCGGCTCTCCTTCCTCCCGGGAACCGCGCTACGGCCCGCAACGCGTCGCATCCCCACCCCAACCGGTTCCTGAGCCTCAACTTCTCCCGGCC